TTAATATATTTTTGAAATAATCATTGATTTAAAGAAATTTTTAGAATCATATAGTCAAGTTGACTTTTTTCTTCTTTTGTTGTACAGTTCTGTGAACTTGAACATAGGTGTACATTTGTGTAACCACCACAATCAGGATATAGGACACTTCTGTCACTTCAGAAAACTCCCTCGTGCTGACCTTTTATGTACTGACTGTCCTCCCATCCCTACTCCCTGGCAGCCGCTGATTCGTCCCTATCACTAGTTTTGTCTTTTCTAGCATGTGGTATAAATGGAATCATAAAATATGTAGCCTTTTGAGACTGGCTTCTTTCACTCAGCCAAGTTGAGTGAAAGATTCATCCAAGTTGTAAGATGTATAACGAGTCAAAACTGGTTTTAAAGACACTTATTTTAGTTTTGAAATACTATTTCTTAAAAAAAAAATGTGTCTGAATTTTTGCTTATAGAATTGTGTTTGACTCAAGATTCTTAAGTTTGAAAGTGGAATAAATGATGACTTTATGGAGAAAAACTACTTACTCTGATAAAAACTGTGTGTGTATGCTATCACTTGTTTTTCTTTATGAAGATGACAGATCATTGGTAGAGGAGTTTCCCGGTGTTAATAGTTCATCCATATTCATCCACATAGAGTTGCAGCAGAGTCCTGATTTGAAAGGTGACTGTTTAAACATCATTACTTTCTAAAATGTGGTCTGAAGGTAGGATAACCAGCTAGCTGCTTTGCCCAGCCTTTCCCAGCTTAGCACTGAAAGTCTGGCTCCTTCAGGAAACCCAGCATCTGAAAGGGCCACATAAAGAAAATTCGAGGATTCCAGTTCATCAGATTTCATTACTGAACCATTGGACAAGTATCCCAGCCAATCTTAACTTGCCATCAGGGTGCTCAGAGGCAAAATCTCTAAGATAACCAGAACCCAAACCACATGAGGCTTTTTAGATTAAGATCAAAAACCTTGAATTTAAGGACTAGTGCCTAGTGGTTTAGATTTGACTGGAATTACATCTTTTCTTATTAGTTTGTCACCCTCTGTAAGTCTTCATTGCTTAAGTTCAAGAGGCAGTCTAGTCCATATTTTTATTTCAGCAATATTTTAAAAAGTTGTATGGTGAGCAAATTTTCAAGTCTCGTGTAGAGCTTAAAAGTCAAGCTTATACTTTCACAGAATCTCTTGTGTTTAGAGTTTTTAAATTGAGATAGTGATGTCTGAACCTCAGGTAGATTTTAAGTTCTTTAGTTTAACTATTGTATTACCCTTTCCTGACTTTTCATACCACTTCTGTACCTCTTCTATCGATTTCTTTGTAGAGCATCTCCATCTCTAAGCAGATACTAAGTTGTTGACTTGTCCTGCTGCCTTCATTAGAATGGAAGCTTCATGAGCGCGGGGCCCTGTCTCTCATCTTGACCACTGTATCTTGGGGCCTAGAGTCGTGCATCATAACTTCTGAATAAGTATTTGTTGAATTGCATGAGAGAATGACTGTCTGTGTGAGTAGGTTTTACAGTCCTGCATACTTTCCAGCCTATTTTATTATAACACTCTTAGGGGATGTTGAAACATTTTGTTTTTAAAGAAACATGTAAATTTATATTTTATTTCAAATTGTGCAGGAGTGAAAATGTGGCCTTTAAAAAATCCTGTTTTGTTAACCCTCTGTGAGGAAAGCTTCCTTGAAAGGGAATTTGGTATAGTGACCTGAAATCTTCCTTAAAAATGGCAAATCAGAACCAATGGAGAGAGTCGAAAGGAAATAGATTTGGAGTGGAGGTATTCGGAAAAATTTCCTCTACCTCTCAACCTCATTCCCTCTCTCTCGCAACACAGAATTGTAAAGGCAGGGAGGGGAGCGTATGAGGAGATTGGGTTGGGGCAAGAAAGAATTGAGTCACCTGAGAGATTTAGTACTTAGTACTCTAAATGGAGCAAGAGGGTGCTAATGAGTTATTCAGAGTCTGCAGCTATAAACTGAGGACAAACCAATAAATAGGTTCTAAGTCAGTGGTTCTCAGGCTTTAGTGAGCATAAGAAGCTCTTGGAGAGTTGTAAATGACAGATTTCCAGCTGCCGCCTCGGGGTCTCATTGTTGACACAGCAAGCAGTAATACTCATATAGACACCCAGGTATGGTCTGAGGAGCATACTTTGGGAAAACTAAGGACAGTAATTAAAAATAGGTGAATATAATAAAGTTTTGTCAAAAAATAATCCTAGAAAGCAATATATTGATTTTTATATATAAAAACATTTCTGCTTCTGACTGCTGTGGCTATCTAAGGAGGCATCCCTGAACGCCCGCTGGCAGCTGCTTAGTGTATGCAAAATATGTAGAGGTTAAAATGCCTTTTTGGGCTTGCTCTAAAAAGCCAACTCATTTTATTTTTATTTATTTATTTATTTTTTTGTGAGGAAGATCAGCCCTGAGCTAACATCCATGCTAATCCTCCTCTTTTTGCTGAGGAAGACTGGCTCTGAGCTAACATCTATTGCTAATCCTTGTCCCTTTTTTTTCCCCAAACCCCCAGTAATTGTATGTCATAGTTGCACATCCTTCTAGCTGCTGTATGTGGGACACGGCCTCAGCATGGCTGGACAAGCGGTGCGTTGGTGTGCGTCCGGGATCCAAACCCGGGCCGCCAGTAGTGGAGCGCGCGCACTTAACCGCTAGAGCCACGGGGCCGGCCCAAGCCAACTCATTTTAAACAGTGGAATATTGCTTTATATTTAAATGAACCACTCCATTCCGATGCAGCATTCACCAACATCTGTCTTTCTCAGTCACAGTGTGTCTTAACTATGGATTCAAAGGGGGATCCTGGTGATGTGATTCAGCCTCCATTTAATCTCAGAATCATATATGGCTTTTTACTCAGATGGACTGTAGTGACAGTTAATTCTCAGCTTCACATACATTAATCCTCATCGCTGCCCTGAGGTAGTGCTGCTATTTTGTGTAAACCCATTTTACAGATGAGGAAACTGAGGCCCAGGGAGGTTCAGTGATACAGCTAGTAAGTGGTGATGGAGCAAGAACTCAAAGCCAGGTTGGTCATAACCACTGTACTCTCCTAAGAGAGAAATTCCATACCACTTGGAGGAGTGCTTCCAGAGCCACTGGTGAATGTACTTAACTTTTTAGACTTTCCTCAATGTTCTGGTGTAATTTCTTCGTTATTTTGTAGAGAAGTTGTGGTCTTGAAAAACTTTTTGCTTGTGTTATACCTAAAATAATTTTTAAAACCTTTCTATAACTTACATTGAAGCTTTAATCATAAATTTAAGTAGTTGAAAAAGATGTAATTTCTAATGTATCGTCATGAGTTGATGTCCACTATGATCCATACATAAGTAAATGATTCAAATTTAATGTTATTCCTTTTTCTTCTTGAAATACTGTATGTTACATTTCCCTCACAAAAAGTTATCCTAATAAATTTTTGTGCTTGAAAGTCTTATTATCTTTTCGTTCTTTGCAGCATATTTGTATATAAGTTGAAATGTTAAATTTTAATTTGCCATGACCGTAAGGCCCCCAATGTTCATGTTCCTTTTTTTGGGTTATTAAAATCGTTCTAGTTAGTACACATTTGATCCAGACAGCAAATTTTACACATTGATACTTGGAGTCAAGTTTTATTGGCCATGCCCGTTAACAGGTGGGGGATAATACGGTCTCAATTAAAGGAGGCTTTGTTGACCAGTATTTCAAATTGTGCTCTTGTTTGGCTTCCCAAAGATTATTAAATATAGGTTAAATATATTTAAAGGTTTTTAAATGTGGTGGACCAAACTAAGATTCAAGGTGCATGAGAGATGCCTTCTGTACAGTGTGAGGAGGGAAGAAGGGAAAGGAGAAACAGGCTTGATAAACTGATTACAGGGGTGCACACAGGCACAGCAATTTTATGCACGTGCTTATGTGGGACTTAAGGATCTAGAAAGCAATTCTTGAACTATCCATGCCTACATGCTCCTTGGAAAGTCTTTGGCTACCCTTGGGGTGTAGGTACCTCAGAAGACTGCGACTGAAGAACTCTTGGCATGTGCTGAAAAAGACCAGGATGCTCACCTTCTTGCTGTTACAGCAAATAAATATATAAATGCCATCAGTAAGGGTAGAGCTAAATGTATTCTCTTGGTGGGATACTATGTAGCAGTTAAACAAGTGGCAAAATGACAGTGCCTCAATTTAGAACAGTAATACTGTGTTCATGGATATGTATATAATGTACAAAAAAAAATTTCATTGTAGGGAGGGTAGTGGGGCAAGGGGGGGGTTATGCATAAAAATAAGGCAAATGAAGATAAAAAATGTTAATTATCAATTCGAGGTGGTAAGCATGTAATGTTAAATTCTTTATACCTGGTATTTTTTAATTTTCCCAAACCCAAGGTATGTGCAAAACTAAAAAAATGTTTGTGGGAAGAATATTTTGACTAACTTGGTAGTGAAAGGACAGAAAGTATTGATTGATAAAAGGCCAAGTGCCAGTCAGCAGTTGTACTCAAATTATGCCATCTAAAATAGGTATATAAAATTTTTTTTTTTCCCCCAAAGCCCCAGTAGATAGTTGTATGTCATAGTTGCACATCCTTCTAGTTGCTGTATGTGGGACGCGGCCTCAGCATGGCCGGACAAGCGGTGCGTCGGTGCGCGCCTGGGATCTGAACCCGGGCCGCCAGTAGCGGAGCACGCACACTTAACCACTAAGCCATGGGGCCGGCCTTAAAATTCATTTCTGTCATCAAAAGGCCTGTCTTGTTTTAGTCTTTATTCCAAAACTCCTGAGTTCCTGTATGGTTCTCTTAGCCAGAGCCATGACCGGGATTCCTTGGGGACAGGTTTGGAAGAGTGTCCAAAATCTAAGCTGTTTGGCTTTAGTGAGTATCTTGCCTAGATTTCCTAGATGCTAAGCTTATCCAAAGTTCTTTAAAATAAAATGAACATTTTCCTTTCAAATCGTCAGTGTTACGGACCCAAACACCAGATTCTTCATAATTTTTATTCAAGCAGCAATACATTTAGGAGCTGAAAAATCATTATAACCACTTGTTGATTTAAAAAAATTAAGTACCTATTAAATAAAGAGATCCCCCAATAGTGAGCATTTATTTTTGATTGTAGATTATCTCTTGCAATGACACTTGTCCTGTGGTCATCACTTGATCAGAAAAAACACTCGTCCCAGCTCAAACATTACCTTAGAGTGATAAAAAGTGAGGGTTATTAATTTCATGGCAAATGGGGCACAACCTAAAATGATCTTTCCAAGATTGTGATTAATGAAAAATGCTCCTGGGGTAGGAAATGTCTTTCCCACATGGCAAGCTGCAGATCTAAGGCAGAGGTACTTGCTGTTGGGCTGTACATTATAAATTGACAGCTAGAACTTTCCCTAAACGCCATCTTTAAAAATGTGGAGCTGTCCCCAAAATCATAATGCATTTGCAAGATATTACCCTAGTCACTTGAAACTTAACCTCACTTCCAAATACACCTAGGAATTGGGACAAAGTCATGCTCTTGCCCACTGTCATGTTCTGTATCAAGTTATCTTTACTTCCATAAAACAGCCGTCTACCTCGATGGTGATAAGGATGACGATCATCCACTCCAAGCGGAGCGCCCTCTTCTCTGTCAGGTGATTCCGCATCAGATCCGTCAGCTCCATGCAGTGCTGCAGTTTTTCATTCATGACCTGCATCAGAAAAATCTTAGCATCCTGCATTTATATTTAAACATTTAATTAGGAAAATAAGTAACACGGTCATATGCTTCAAAATTCTAAAGGTCTGAAACAGGTACACGGTGAACAATCATCCCTTCAATTCTTCCTCCTCAGTCCTCTCCCCAGAGGCAGACTGCCAGTGTTACCTGTCTCTGGCGAATCCATCTAGAGACATCTTGTAATGCACCGATTTAACTGCAAGGAAATACTTTGCATACTGAACCTCTTATATTTGTAAGATTTTGATGGGAGATCTAAAAATAAAGTTTTTGAGTCCCAGTTGTTGGTAGCTGCCCTTGGATTTCTAGCAGTTAAGAACGGCAAACTTGAACCATGATTCTTTTAGCATGGCCTTAAGATGACAAAAACAAGGATTACCTTCTACTAAAACTGTTCAAGTCCCTCTGTCAACAGCCCCGAACACTAACGCTTGACCTGCGGCACACTCACCACTAGATGGCACTGCTTCTAGCGCTGAACTGCACAGGTTTCTGCATTCTGATGCCTGACCACAAGCTGGTTGAGGGGGTTCATAGAGAACAGAATCCTTGAGTTTAAGACTTGGATGTGACCACTGGCAAGTTACACCTCCTAACCTCTCTGTATCTCACTTTCTTTTGTAAATTGGAAAGTCTGGAAACAAATGTTTAAAAATAGTTTGATTCCTCTTGATTCCTTATGGGGGTATACTGAGGGTCTGGGTCTGGTCAGTGGAAATCAGACAAATCAAAGATGAATGTTTGGGGATTGGTCAAAATGTGTTAGTGCACCATATTCATTATGCTAGTGTACAGGGCATTAAACTGCCTTACTAATGAGAGAGAACATGTGGAGCAATGTCAATAAGCATATATTCACCCATGTTTCCAGACTTTACGGTCTACGGTCATCCTGTAGTTTCTAATCTGTATAAATGTTTAAAACAGTGCCTCTTTCTTTCCTTCCTTCTCTCCCTCCCTTTCTTCCTCTTCCCATTTATGTTGGCTGCTTGATCTTGGTCTATAAACATGCTCATCCTTAAGCTTCCCTTCAAAATACAGACCCAACCCTCTTCCATTTTCTTTCAACTTTGGCTAAGGAACAGAAAACATTTTCTTCCTCCACGTGCTCATCACCCAACTTATTCCTTAGCCCTCAGAAGTTGTGTATATCACCACAACTCCCCTGAAACTTCCAAATGTTCCTAATTAGTAATTCTAACACCTTTTCTAAACCTCAGTTAACTTAATCATTTGACACCTTGAAATGCACACTTCCTTTGGCTTTCTCTGCTCTGAGAACTAAGTTTACCTCTGACCATCATCTTTCTCTGAGTCCCCTCTGCCCCCTCTTGCCGTTAGATGACATTTCCCAAAGCCCTGACCTTGTCTTCTTGTCCTCCAGCTCTGCCCGCTCCTCGCATGATCTCACCCACGTTGGTCTGGGTAGATGCTCCGTCATTTCCATCCCACCATCACTATTTCTATGACTTATGTGTGCCAACTGTACTATTATTCACATTCCAAAAGACTTTACTTAGAAATGTTTATTTTAAAAGGAAACTATCATTGCCATAAAAGGAAGTCCAGTATGATGTGAAACTGTGCTGCCTACGTGACGCTGAGCCTGACACCCGTGCAAGTGGGAAATCAGCGTACATCCGAGGACCCATCAAGATCCACCAAAACCAAACTGGGTGTTTCTCCTCGACAGAGACAGAAATGTTGCTTCGATGCTTAAATGTTATTTCAGGGTCCATGCGTCACCTAAGTTCATTTCTTGTACAAGTGTATATATCCCACATTTTGGGAAAGAATGATTTAAGCTACTGTTTTCTGATAAGTCCCAAATATCAGTGCTTAATCCCGATCACTCCTTGGCCTGAATTTCTAACTGCCTGTAAAACATCTTCTTATGGGTTTCCTGCCAGCACCTCAAATTTAGCATTTCTCAAACTAAAGCTGACATCCTGTTCAAGCCTGTCCTTCTTGGGTTCCTCTTTCAACTCAGGTGACACTACCTTCTCAGTCACTCAGGAGAGAGACCTGTGCTCTCTAATCCCCATTCCCTACAGTTCACCTTTGCTCTGAGGAGCCTTGAATCTGTCCCCTGCTTACCATTTCTTAATACCACCTGGTAGGCTTTCATCAACTATTCATTACCTCCTAAGAATAGTTTGTGTTTTTTTGCACTGGCATCAGAGTCCTCATCCTGAACATGTTGAATCATGTCACCTCCCCCTGCTCAAGAGCTTTACACATCCCACCACTACCTTCTCCATAACAAAACAATCCCAGCTCCTTTAGTCCGATCGCACTAGATGGCGGCATCCTCCCTCTTCAATCGGGAAGGCGCAGCCTGTGAGACCCTCCCGACCTCCTGCTCCTTCCTCAGTGCTCCTGTGGCACTTTGAGTCCCTGTTGACTTCGTTCTGCCTCCCCGTCGTCTGGTGTCCGCCCAGCGCCCTTCCCTCCTGTCCCCCTTCTTCTGGGGAGAGACTCTTCCACCATTTGCAACCACGCGGTGCTGCCAATCACGGTAGCAACACCTGCCTGACCACCCCCTCCCCTGAAAGGCCCGGGGGTAGACGGGGTTGGTACAAGACCCAGGCTTCGCCAACCATAATGCCCAGTTCCCTTACCACATGGCTGCCCAAAGCTGGGACACACGTGCCAATCCTTTGCAGTTGCCAGGCAGAGTGAAGCCTGAGTGGCCCCTCGTTCCACGCCCCTTTCTCCCCATCTCATAGAGAATGCCACTGAGAAGAAAGAATGAGGCCAAACTGGCCAGAAAATGCTGAGGAGAGACAGCCCTGATGACCTGTTCGGGTCTGTGCAACAGACATTCCCTATTCCAACACTCTGCCCCTGGTCTGCTCAGTCATGTGAGCCAGTACATGGTGACAAATACGTAAGATCCTTCAAATTTTTTCTGTTGTGTGCAAGCAGGAGAGCCCCCACTATGCACGCTTTCCATTTCATTTAGCTATAGAGTCACGCATGTTACACACACACACAGACGCGGGAGCAGGGGAACACAAGGATGCCGTCACAGAGGTGGTAAATGTGAGCAGGCTCTAAATAGGCAGGTGCCAGGAGGAAAAGGTGGGGCACCAAGGGTAGGGGACCAAGGGGAGAGCACTTCAAGCAGAGGAAACAGCTTAGAGGCAAGTATAGCTAGATAGTGGAAAACTTGGAAAGAAGTGCTTGGAAGTGAGGTTAAAATGGTAAATTGGCACCAAATTGTGAGAGGGACTGTAGACCATATGTGATAGGCAGAATACAGGTTCCCCCCAAAGATATTCACATCCTAATTGCTGGGACCTGTGAAGATGACATGGCAAAGGAGAATTGTATATGGAGTTAAGGTTGCTAGTCAGCTGACCTTAAGATGGGGAGATGATCCCAGATTATCTGGATGGGCCCAGTGTAATCACAAGGGTCCTTTAAAAGTGGAAATGGCAAGCAGGAGAGTTCAGAGTGACGAAGAAGACTTGCCTTGCCTTTGCCAGATGGAAGAAGGGGCTACGAGCCAAGGAAGGTGGGTGGCCTCTAGGAGCTGGAAAAGATAAGAAAACAGATCCTACCCAGAGCCTCCAGAAAGAAATGCAGCCCTGCCAACACCTTGAATTCAGCTCACTGACTCCCAGGTCAGACTTCTGACCTACAGAACTATAAGATAATACATTGTGTTAACCAGTTTGTGGTAATTTGTTACAGCAGCAACAGGAAACTAACACACCATGCTCCAATGTTGGGATTTTATTCTGTAGGCAATGGAGAGTCTTTGCTCAGTCCTCAAATATTTGCTTAATATTTACTGTACTGTGCTGGGTAGAGGAGATGGAATGGTGAATAAGACTGTCATGTCTCTGCCTTCCGGCTAAAGGGTCCAGTCTAGAGGCTGGGAGACAGTGAAGGTGAGAGAAGAGAGTGAATGGCAAGGGGGATGCATGTTAGTAGTGGGGGGACTTGAAGGTGGGGGTCAGTATGGTAACCCTCCCTGTTTCACCAGCCCAGGGTCTATCACATAGACTTTCAATAAATATTTGTCAACGAATGAATGACACTTAGGAGAACATGAAAGAACTATCTAACTGGCTGTGGAGGATGAAGGAGAAAGAGGAAACACGATGAGTTTCAAGTTTCTGGTTGAGTGACGACATGGGTGAGGCTAGGCGGTCCTGCCATTAGCTGGAATAGAGAACAGAGAAGGTTCAACATTTTCTGGAAGAATACAATGAGATTCATTTTGAAATCTTAATCATTGATTAATTCTACAAATATTTATTGAGTACACACTCTATGTGAGGCCTTTGCCAAGAACAGGAAATACAGCAGTGAAGAAAATAATCATGGTCTCTGATCTCACGGAGCCTACATTCTAGTGGGGAGTGACACACACAATTAATTCTAAAAAGGATGCTATGAGATATGTCATGTGGAAGATCTGTGAGATTTAGTAAGCAACTGGCAACAACTGGAAGGCAAACGAAGAGACTGAGGGTAGAGGTACATACATGACAATTACCAGGAACAGGTGGGAGGAGTCAAGTCGTGAAAATGAACAAGAGTGCTCACGAGTAGGCAGCAGCAGGAGAGAAGAATCAATGGCAGAATCTCGGAGGACACCAACTTGAGAAAATGGAGAGAGGGACCCAGTGCAAACTGGTTTCTGTCCCTCCTACACTTCTGTAACTGCTCTCTGATCTTTTTCAGTGATCTCTTCATGACTAAATGAAATGACTTTACCTCTGTCCTCAACTTTTTGGACTGCTTCTCAGCACATCTCCTGCCTCATTACCCCTATTTTTCTCAAGATTCCTTCCTTTCGGAAAAAAACAAAAATGAAACAAGGAAGAACTTTCTCCTGGCACTACCACTCTTGTTCTGTGTGTCTTCTTGCAAGACTGTAATGCTTGTCGAAGCTCAGGACCCGTTCTTATTTTTCTTTTGTATTATCTATAATACAATTATTGAGCACAGGAAGGG